CCTGTTTGAGCCGGCGGCGCGCGGGGGACCTGCCGCCCGGGGTTGCTGCGCGGTTCGTGGCCGGGTCTGCCGCGAGCCATGGCGGGCGAGGTCCCGGGGCGGGACGCGCTGCTGCTGCGGAAGCTCCAGGAGAGCCGCTGCCGCTTCCAGAAGCGCATGCAGCGGCTGATAGAGAAGGTGCGGCCCGCGGCGTCCGCGAGGAGGGGCGGCCGGGGCCGGGGCTGCGGGCCGGGGCCTGCGGGCCGGGGAGGGGCCGGGCTCGGAGGGCGAGCGAGCGGGGCAGGCAGGGCTGGGGCTCCGGGGCGGAGCGGGGGCTCGGGACGCCCCGGGCCCGACCAAGCCTCGAGCTGGCTGGCGCCTCCGTGGCCCGAGTCCCGGGCTGCTCGCGGGCCTCGGACCTGACGGGAAGCCCTTCCTTCCCCGCAGTACAACCGGCCCTTCGAGGACGCGCCGCTCGTGCAGATGGCCACGCTCACCTACGAGACGCCCCAGGGTAAGGAGGCGGCCTTCCCCTCCCGTGTGCTTACGGTGGAGAGTGGCAGTAGAATCGTGTGTTCGGCTATGGAATCTGAAATGCTGTCCCTGCTCTCCTGTGGGGTAAACCTAGGTCGCCCACCTAATGGGAGCCAAACCATCACTTGTTCCTTTGCACCTATAAAGGGCTCGTTTCCAACAGCGTTGCTTGTTAAAACAGAGTTCCTGAAGACACATAGATGCGTCCTGGTTAGACAATGCCTCTGCCTGCCTGGGTTGTCATCCCAGCTGGACACTTAGTGGACACGGGGGTTAAGTTGCTTAGCCGCACTGTGTCAGTGTCCTCATGTTAAAATGGGAAGGATGACAACAGTTAGGTAGCGTCCTGTGAAGCTCTTGGAACGGTCCCCAGCCCTGGTAAACACTTGCAGTGTCTGTTGAGCACGTGAAGAGAGATCAGAAGCCGCCCTGTTTAATGGTTAATGTTGTGAACTGACCTCGAAATCTCACGAATTCTCCTTGGTAAATAGCTGGAGAAAGTTGGCACTGGGTGAGGTCAGTTCCTCCCCTACAGCCTTAGTAACAGCTTATCATTACTTACTAATATTAGAAAGCAAATCTCAGATCAAATTCTGGGCTGCATTAAACATACAGGCACAAAAGGTTCGTAAGATCTGCTCCTTGAATTAAATGAAATATTTGCTCTCTGCCTTTTTGGCTGGTCTAGCCACACCTCGGATGAAAAGTTTACACAGGCAGAAACTAAAATATTCCAGTGACGTGATTCTGTTATTCTCCGCTCTGCACCAGGCCACGAGAAATGTAACCTGAGGGCAGGACACAGGGCTGTATAGGAATCCTTCCTAAGGGTGCGGCTGGCAGGCTTCTCTGTGTTCTTAGGGACTGTTCATGCAAGGATGGGCAGTGTCTAGAATGTTGTGGACAATCCACGTTTCCTGAATACCACTGATTTCACCAGTGAGAATTCATTTTTTTTTTTTACTTTAGTTTGATGAGAACAATAGTGGAAGCAACTCAGTACCCTGCAAGCAGTCTCTGTAGCATGTAGAAGACTCCTGGAAAGCTTGCTAAATAAAACACAGATTCCTGGGGCCACTCACAGCAATGCTACCTGCTGGTTTCAGTAGATTTGTGTTTCTAACAAGCTCATGGCTAATGTTGCTAACACTGTGACACTGATTTTGATGAAGACAGCAGGGAAGTAATGTCAATGTTCACATGCATTGACAGCTTATCGTGTGCCCTACAATCCTAAGAGTTTCATATTTTGATTTTTAACAATCCTTCGAGGCAGGCACTGTTCTTTGAGGACACTGTTCTGGAGGCTGCTGCCTCCAGCCTCTGGAAGTCCAAAGCACTATCCATTGCGCCACGGAGCCAGCTTGTTCTTAGGTTCATCAGTATTTAATAGCAGGTACAGCACAAAGAGGTTAAGTAACTTGGCCTGTGTCACTTAACCAAAGTGGCAAAGCCTTGACTTGGGGCCACATCCACAAGCCTCGCTCCATTCTTAGAAGGTCCACAAGGAACAATGGTCAAGAGTCCACTCTGCCCGGAGTTCACTTTCTGGCTCCACGGTGTGGGGAGGGGGCCTGGGCTAGCGGTTTGGGCTTCTTGTCTCTGTGTGTCCGTCTGTACAATGAACATGGTAGGTCCCTATCCCGTAGTGTGTTAGGGGCACTATATGAGTTCTATGTAAGTGGGTTGTTGTGATTACTAAATGAGGTACACTTGGAAAGTGCTTAGAACAGATCCTGGAACATAGTAAGCACCACATAAGTTTTTGCTGCTATTATTATATTAAGAACCATCTCAAGCCTTGCAACCCAACAACAATTCCTTCTTATTGCAGAGATTGAGTATATTGCCCAACCTGCTAGCTGGTAAGTGGCAGGACTAGGTGTGCTTGAACTCCAGTGTTGATGCATGTGCTTGGGCTTGCTCTATACGTGTAATGCACAAATTGCCCTTAGAAAGCATTTACTCTGTATGGGAAGTAGAGATTGCCCTTGAAAAGTACTTACTTTCTCTCTATATGTATGGATTGCCCTCGGTGTATATATTTTAAGGAAAGTACCCAGCATGTGTATGTTCCTTGCTTACATTTAATTTTTTAGGTCAGTGATGTGATTTGATGAGCCATTGCCTACAAAGTAGGTGAGATTTCCACTAATGACAAATTTGTTTAATTTTGACTTTTAAAAAAACCCTTCACCTTCACAAAGGTGAACAACAAAAGAATATCAGAAACCTGGCTTGGTTTTAATTTTATCATTTTTTGGCCTGTCCCTTTGGCTCTCTCTGAGTGCAGATTGAGTAGGAATTCCTCATTCAAGATTACTTGCGTGGTAATTTTTGTTTTTTTTTTCTTAAGGCTTGAAAATTTGGGGTGGAAGACTAATAAAGGAAAGAAACAAAGGACAAATGCAGGTATTTAATGCCAGGTGTTATTGCCAGAATGCCTCGCTGTGCAGGAGTGTGGCTGTGATAAAGGTGTGAGTGCACTTCTAGGGGCTGCCGCAGGGGACTTTGTTTGCTCACCTTGACTGCCCTGTTTTTCTGTTTATAAGGATTTACTGAGAAACATGTCTTCTGTTGCTTGTCAAGTGCAGGAAGGAGCTGTGTAATGTCTGGCCTTTTTTGTCACCCGTGTTTCCCGTCATAGGTCGGGTGGCTCTGACAACTGGATTGCATGTGCAGAGGCTGGGCTGGCTGGGTAACCCTCCCCTGGCCACACTCCAGCCCAGCGAGGGGCTCACTTTGTTGGGTCCTTATAGAAGAGACAAAATCCAGTTCTTCCTAGGGAAGAAAAATGCCTTCCTCCTCTGGGAGGAGGAAGAAGAGAGATAGGGGAGGATTCAATGTGCAGGATCACACATTTTTTCCTTCTGCACTTTTCTACCTTTCAGAGACCGAGGTTTTTCCTTCCCTATTTGATCCAAAGGCGTGGCAACTACAAGATCTATTATTTTAATGAAATGTGCTAATGCAGTTTGCCTTCCTACTGCAGCCCAAGGAGCCTTTTGTCATAGTAGCCTTTGCAAGATTGTCTGATGTCCCATTAGTCACTGCTTCTCAGATACCGCAGGGTCCCTCCTCACAGTCACAGGCCAAGGAGCTGATACTCAGGAGTGAGAACATCCAGGTTAAGGTGACTTAGCATTAACGGCAAATTGAAAATCAAATCTTTTTTATTTTTTTGGTCATAGAAACGTTAGAAATACGTAGAACTACTTAAAATTAGTTTGACTTCCTTATGCAGATACAGTCACTAATGCTATTTTGGTATAATATGATTCCTTTTTATAATATACATCTTTATAAATACATATTTTTTTACTCTCCTGTTTCCGGTTAATATATATGGAGAACCCCTCTCTTCATCATCTATTATATAATTTCAATCACCAATTTTTTAAACTGCTCTCCTGTTGACAGGCATTTAGCTATTTGTGCTTTCCTTTATTATAAATCAGGGTCGGCACACTTAGTCCACAAAGGGCCAGATAGTAAATATTTTAGGCCTTGCAGCTGTGTTCTCTGTCATAACTTCTCAGCTCCATGGCATATGGGGGAAAGCAGTGTAGAAAATACGTAAATGAGCACATGGGGCTGTGTCCTGGTAAACTTTTATTTATAAAACCCTGTCCTCGATAGTGTAGGACTAAAGAAACATCCATCAGGGAAATATCCTGGTCCTTATCTCTTCCCAACACTGATACCCTCCCTTTTTAGTAAATGCCAAGAAGTGGGATTATTGGGTCAAAGGAGATGTACTCTGTAAATTATGCATAATAGAGACACCCCCTCAGCAGACCGGTACTTGGATGGCCCTGGTGGCAGAATGTTCTGGACATTTATCTAAGGTTTTTGCTTAAAACATAGGGGGCCCCTGTCTGGAGTCTGCAGAATTTTCAGACTGTTTCTTGGGGTTATAAAACAACACAGTCTGTGATTGGAGCTTAGACATCTGTAACATCACAAAAATTACCATTGGTGACTGTACCCAAATCTGCCTTCACCTTTTCCCAAATGCCCAAATGCTGGCGGTGTCCTGGAGGCTGTGGCAGGCTGTGCACCTGCCTACGCTGGTTCGCTCTCTATGCAAGGCTTGCGTTCTCTGTAGGTACCCAAGCTGCCGAGCAGTTAGGGGTTTGTGTGGATCAGCTGCTTCCCCTGATTCTCAAACCAAGTTCCACCAGCCCTTCAGACACAGCCACGAAACGGCTCTGTAAACTCCAGGAAGTCCCACCTGATGTGATGGTTTCATTGGAGGCGAAGGTGCTGATATTCTGGAACAGGATTCACTTACCACGCGGTGCTCAGGGTAGCGCCAAATCTCAAGTCCTTGGAGATGACATCTGAGGACCCTCCCTAAACGGATAGGCCTTGTCACCTTCTCACTGCCTGTTCTTGCAAGACTGGGTGGTTCTTAAATATTTTAACCATTCTGGCTTCTTGAATATTCTAATTTCACTAATGAGACCCCATCAGTGCCATCTGCTGGGATTATCAGTGGGGCCTCTGGTGCAGTGGGCTCTAGGGCAGGTGCAGGCCTCGCCGGGAGGGCGGCTGGCTGACCAACCCTGCCGTGCAAGCTCCAAGTCAGCACCCAACTGCCCCTCCGGTGTAGCTGAGGCTTAAACCACAGGAGCTCAGGAGTCCTAGGCCTCATGACATCACCATGCACGCTACGTCACATTGAGATAAAGACCACAGGCAGTCCTCCAGGGGCCTCTTAGCTATTTCTGGATTCTCCACGATGACCAAGTGACAGTTTTGTTCTTTTTCACTTCGTCTTGTTTGCCTCAGTCCTCGTGGAGCCACACGTGGGCCAGGGCTGGGGTGTTAAGAGACAGGGGCACCTCCACATGTGCCTCTGCTCTGTCGTTCAGGCAGCCACCCTGGGCACAGCCCCGGGAAGAAAACTCTGCTGGTTTCCAAGGGGCACCTTGACCAGCTCATGGGCATCTTGAGGCCTTTCGGAAAGCAGATGTGCAGGGAGACGAGAAGCCTCGTGCAGCTTCCTGCTCCCTCCTGTGTTAGTGGAAGGATTGCAGGTTCATTACAGTGGCTTTGAACTGTGCTGTGTCTAACGAGTGTGTCTTTATTGACTTCTGCACCTCAAGGACTCCCCTGTGATGCCCACGGATGGGACACATGGCCCCGTGCGAGCCACAGCGCAAGGCCCTGAGCTTCCCGAACAAAGCACACAGGTCCTGGAAGCTGGTGAGTGTCACCTTTGTTAGAGCGAATTCAGGAGGGACTGGGCTTGTCACGTCTCTGTTACAGCAGTTTAAAGTCTACAGTCCTCATTATTAAAGTTTTTAATTTCTCTAAGATATATTTTAAAAACCAAAAACAGCTTAAAGTGCCCTATCAATTCCTTCTGAGCTCCCTGGAGGATCGGGGGCCGTGTCTTGCCCACAGTTACATCTGCGGTGCTCAAGTGTTTCTTGAATAAATAAATGTGCCCCCACTTAAAAAATGAATATCAAGATTTAATGAGATTGAAGCTTCGCCCTCACAGGGTGGTGGTGTCAATGCTCGCTTCTGTGCAAAAGCCGCCCGCCCCTGCCTCTGCGGCCACCCATGTTTCCTTCCTCCTCCTCCTCCTCCACTGCCTCCTCCAGGAGGCTCCTCTGCCGCCCCCAGGCCAGCCCCCCTGCCCTCCCCTGACACTGGCCCGTGTCCTCAGGGATCCAGCCGTCACCCCTGCTTTCTTTCTGTCCTCAGCCCCTTACCTGGAGCATCCGTCAGCATTGACACGAGCCCAGTTTCACCTTCAGCTCACAACCCTTCACGGACCTCCCCCATCCCCCGTCCCGTGTCCCTCTCTAGCTCCCCCGCTTTGTTCAGTCCCTACAACCAAAGTCAGCCCCTGCTGGCCGCTGCCTGGGACTCCCTCCCTGCGCGTGCTCCTCACCCGGCTCCATTCCGCTTCCAGCTCCGTCTGAGAGATGCCGTGACTGTCCCTGAGAGGGAATGCAAGCTCTTCTAAAAGTCCTGATTGAGATTTCCTTTTCTTACTTTCAGATTCAGAAAGCAGCGATGTCGATGCAACTTTAGACCAGGAAGATCGGGCTGTCACGGTGAGCACTGCCTTTGGTGGCGCATGGCCGCGGTGAGCCTGGGGTCCGGGTGCACGTTCTCTCAGCTGTCAAAGCCCAGGCAGCCTGGGGCAGCACTGCCTGCACCTGTCTGTCTGGAAGTCCTCTTCCGAGGCTCACTCTCGCTGCTACCACCCCTCAAGTCTTTGGTTCCCCCCATTTGGGTCCCCTAAGGCAGTAGGTCCCTCCCCAGTCTAGCAGTTAGCGGCTACTACCCCCCCTTCAAGCTTCGTCTACTGAACTTACATGGTTGTGAGTCACCCTGGATGGTCTTCACTCAGCAAATAGAACTGACACACTGTGGTTCACGGGGTGCCATTTGCCTCCAGTGCGCAGGTGACATTAAAAGGTGGGCTCTAAGCCTTGCTCCACAGAGCCAGTGTCACAGGAAGGTGTTCTAGGAAGTGTCTCCCGGTCAGCCCTTAGTCACCAGGTCTTGTAATCAGGCAGCGTCCCTAACCTAAATGGTAAGTGTTGTCAAAACACTTACCAAGTGTTGTCAAAAGTGTTTCCCAGAGTGCCCCAGTGGTCACGGAAGCCACCACTCTCCTTATAGGATGCGATTCTCACCTCCCTCTAGCTAGGATAGATGAGAATTCACGCTGAGCTTAACCCACTCGGGTGTCTTTGCTGGCCCCTGTGTCACGTGCCGTCACATGCTAGCATGGCTGGCGCGCGGTTTTCCTCTAAAACTGCTCTTCTTATGCAAGGGTTGCCCATACACCCATGTGACTTTTAGTGACTAAGCAGAAACAGGTAATGACCCTGAGGAAGGAAAGGGGTACCTACTGAAGTGTCAAGTAGGGAGTGGCAGTGAGGTGGCGTGGGTGGCCCCGGTAGTGAAGAACTGGCCCTTCCCTGGCAGTGTGTGTGTCATCCTCCCTGGTCAGCCTACCCAGGTGCAGAGAATGGAGGGTGACACCTGTTCCTAGTGTCTGGCGGATGGAGATAGGCCATTCCTGGCCTCCCGAGTTAGAACACTGACCAGTTGGGGTTATTACTAGTGAAAAAAACCTGGATATTCTTAGATGAGGTTAGTTGAGTCCTAACCTCATCTAAGAATATCCAGGTTGCTTTCATTTTTTGTTTCTGTTCTTATAATGCTGTCATAACTTCTCCAGACTTTTACTTTTGTGTGTGTGTATTTTTTTGCCTTTTAATTTTCTTTTGGGTTGTTCACATTGGGTAAATTTCCTAAAGTCAGATTACTGGGTCGGCGGAGTTTCAGAGCAGCTGAACTACTTTGTGCTGCTAACAGCAGGAAGTGAGAAAGTAACTTTGGGTCACTTCATTTACAGATCTGTGCATTAGTGAGCTTGCCAGTTTGTTCCAGAATTCAAGAGGTCATCTGCACCCAAAGCTCCTAAGAATACTGACTTCTCTTTTTTTGATCAGCCTGCAGTGCCTCAAAGCCCTTTGAAAAATGAGTTAAGAAGAAAATACTTAACCCAAGTGGATATACTGCTACAAGATTCAGGGTGTTTTGAGGTAATAAATTTTTCAGTGTTTGTTTTTTATATAATTAGATCGTACACTAATGACACATGGAGATACAATATGATTATGTTTTTTGTTTACTCTCAATGGAGCCTATAAAGAGCATTTTGAACAATTATTCCCAGACTGTTTTATTCACGTGTTGACAGGCTTCTGCTCTCCTTGAATGAACACTCCAGGTCCCCAAGGGCAGCGCCATGAGGGCAACTGGCGGAGGTGGGAGCCCTCCTGGGCGCACCCTCCACTGCCCGCTGTTCTGGGGCGGCTCAGAGTCCAGTAGGGCCACGTGTGGGGCTCTCAGGGGCAGCCCTGGCCTCTGGATGGAGGGCTTTGAAGCTGCATAACTAGGGAGGCAGTGGCTCCCACCTTCCCTGGCGTGACCAGGCAAGGGTCAGCAGCAAGGTGAGTCGGCTGCCTGGTGGCCCTAGCCTGTCCCTCCTGCTCTGGGGTCGTGGTGGGGTGAAGCCTTGGGTGGCAGTGTGGATGGCACAAGAGGTGGGTGGCCTGGCCAGCTCCCCTCCCAGGCTGCCCTCAGTTCCTCTGCAGCTGCCTTCTCGGAGCTTTGCCCAAGGAAGAGTGAAAAAGCTAAAGATGGAGCTTCCTATGCGGACGCCACAGCCTTAGTTTTCCCAGTTCTGTCAATGTCTTTTTTTACAATAAAGGACGTTTTAATACCAAATAGCTAGAAAGTACACATTGCAGAATAAAGAGTAGTTCAACTCCCAAAAGGCGGCAGTCGTAACTGCGCTGCTGACCCGCGCAAGGCCTGTGTGTGAGGGCCGCTGACTCAGTGGCTGTACTAGGAATGAGTTTTTCCTTTACCCTAAAGCGGTAAGTGGTGTCCTCTTGGTTGCCGTGTTGATCAGAGGCAGAGACTGGAGTTAAGAACGGCTCTATCGGGTCTCCTCTGCCCACCACGCCCCTGGCCCCTCTGTGTTCTTGTTGTCCGAGTATCGTGGTGGACAAAGGAAAGCCACCAACCTTTCCAGGTGAGGGAGTTACTGGCAGACAAGTGGTAGCTTGGAGGCCACATGGACAGAGTTCCCAGTCTTACTGGGACACTTCTTCCCTCCACTGCTGGAAACCCAGCCGGCCCCTGTCACCATGGTTACATGCTGGTCAACTCCGCCATGCTAAGACACGCAGTTGGTGTTGACGGGGGAGCAGCCCTTCACACCACCACTGGGGGACGTTGCATGGTGAGAGGACAGCCCCGCTCTGTGCGCCCTGGGTCTCGACATTTGACAGCTCTTGTAACCACTGGCTTTGATTTCAGTGCGCAGACGACGACGGAGCTGAAAAGGACACACTCGTGACCCTGCTCCCCTCGCTGGCCTCCGCCGCCACGCCTGCCCCTGGTGAGTGTGACGCAGACGCTTCGCGTGAACCGTGCGTGCCCCCAGCGCTTTTGCTGGAGCCCCGCGCAGCCCCGCAGCTCAGCGCTGCTCGTGCCGAGATTTGGAAAGTCTCACATTAAGGAAAATGAGCTGTTTTTCCCTCTAAAATTCTGCTGTTGATCCCAGCTTAACCAGTTTGAAAAGTTTTGGCCCTCCGGGAGCACAGGACTAGTATAAAGAAAGAACACCCTTCTCCTGTTTCACAGTTAACATCTTGTCACATGTGCTTTGTCACCCACCCCACCCCCGGCACATACATATCCCTCCGGTATGTGTGTGTTTGCAGTTGTGTGTTTACTGTTCCACACGTACCTCCTAAGAACAGGCTAATTCTCCTACATGGCTGCAGAAAGCTTAGCGCAAGCCGGAAATCGAACATTGACACACGATTTCACCCATCTGTGCTGGTCTAGGCAGACTGTCCCTCAGTTTGGACCTGTCTTATTGCTTCCTCATGGTTAGGTTCATGTTAAACATTCTTGGCAAAAACATTGCATGGGTGAAATATCCCCTCGGGACATCAGGTCAGTCTGCCCTGTTGGCAACTTTTGAGCCTGGCGCTTTAGCTCTGGTGGGACCCACCCAATTTCTCCCACGAAAGGGCCTTTTGCCTTGGAGCCTTCTCTGGTGACCCTCTGAGGTCTCCGGCAGCCTTACGTTCAGAGTTATTTGGATTCTTTTTCCTCTTTTAGTTATTAATTGGATTCACAGGCTTGTTTTTTCCCATTTATGTTTGACCTAACCTTGGGGTTTTTCCCATCCTTGTTGGTTTAATTTCACTTTTTTAAACATATAAAACATCGAACAAGGTGCAAAGCTCAAAGCTGTATAAAGAGGTGTTGTGTTCAGGAGTCTTCCTCCCCCTCCACCCATCCCTGGAGGGAAAGTGTCATTTTCCAGTTTCTAATTAGCTTTTGAAAAGGCATCTACCTTCCAAACAGCCACGGTGGGGAAAGAAGACTCCTTTGGGGAAGGTAGGATGGAGAGTAGGAATGAAATCTTGGTAGCTAAAGAGACATCTTTGAGAAGAGTCTATTCCTAAATATTTGTGGAGTTTTTGTTTTATTTATTTATTTTTTTGTATTGTTTAAGAAAACACAGTCATGATCCACTCTAAGTTCTATGACCTGTGCATATGGACGGCTTTGTTTATGTTTCTCCCCAGGATATGGTAGTGCTGTCTCTGGAGAGAGTCCTGGGGACCCAGCTGAATCAGCTTCATCTCCCAAACAATGGGACCCTCCACGTCCTTGCTCAACAGACATGGCCATAGTACCTAGAAATGACAGTCTCTCACTAACAAGGACCAGTAGCAGCAGCTTCTTAAGCAGCCAGTCCTTTGTAGATGACGACATTTGCAACGTGACAATCAGTGACTTGTACGAGGGCATGGTGCACTCGATGAGCCTGCTGCTGAGTTCGAAGCCCTCAAGCATTATCTCCACCAAAACGTTCATCATGCAGAACTGGAACGCGAGGAGGAGGCACAGATGTAAGAACAGGATGAACAAAACATACTGCAAAGGAGGCAGACATTTTCAGAGGCGCCCCAAGGAGAGGTTTTTACCCTCCTCTGAACCTGTGCAAGAGAGAGGAGTATTAAGAGATCGTAAGAACCTACTAGATATTTCTTACTGTAAGACAGGTTTAAAATTGGAAAAAGCTTTTCTTGAAGTAAAACCCCAAATCCAAAAGTCAGATCCGAGTTGGAAGGAGCTTAAAGTGACACCCCAGAAGTATTCCTTATTGACTTATTTAGGCCCCATTGGAACACATAGTCCTGATCAGGAAAATAGATATATGACATTAAAATGGTTACTTTCTCCTGTAAAAAGGGTTTGCAGACCAAGAATACTACCGGGCCATGGAGGGACTTGTCATAGGGAGATTGAAATCAAATTCAATGAGCTCTATCGGAAATACTGCCTGACTCCCAGCAGACAGCCTCGCCTGACTGGCCCCCCCGGTTCCTGGGCTGTGGACGTGCATAGAGGCGGTCCCACCAGCCCTGGTGGCCGCCAGGGCTTAGAAACCCACAGGCTGAGTTTCCCTTTCAACAAAGCAAAAGCAAAAAGTCTGACCGAGGCTTTTGAAACTGCAGGCAGAAGGCCCACGGAGGAGAGTGGGTGCCTGCCGAGGGGAGGTTCCTCTTTGTCACTCTCAAATGCCAGCCCCACACCGAGCCCGGGTCGCTCTCAGCAGATGCCTGACTTTCATTTCCAAGGAATCAGTTCTGGAACGTTTAGAAAGTCCGTATTGCCTGGCAGAGTTGTTTCAGTACCAAGGATAGGACCTCTGGGCTCTGGAAGAGACCGTTATGATGAAATCAAAGAACAATTTGACAAGCTTCATCAAAAGTACTGCCCGAAATCGCCTGTGCGGGCGAGGGCGCCTTTAGGTATTAGAGCGTCTCCAGGTAAAGCAAGTGTGGAAGTTTGGTACCAAACAGAAGATTTAGGAACGTTAAATCCAGACCCTCGCTTCCAGGGTTCCCCAAAGTTATCGCTGTCCTCGTCACCCATGAGAAGTCTGCTGGGCTCAGCTGCAACTGTGGCTCATCCATCTGCCCGCGTCCCTTCTGCTACCGGGAGGGACCTTCAGTCGCCTGCAAAAAGACTCAGGTTATCAGACCCCTGGGGGTGTGGACGAGACGTCCATTCCCGGGATTCCTCCGGTTGGGTGGGCAGAGCCGCCCCCAGACCGGGAGAGCAGGGCAGCTCCTCACAGCCCGACTCGGAGGAGGAGAAGGTGCGTTTCTGTTTGTTGCAGGTGGAGTTTTCTGAGTGACCCCTCTGGGCAGAGCCTTTTTATGGTGGGAACCTTCATGCCACTTTTGAAGAATCTCTGTAGAATTCTTACACGAGCATTAACTTTCCAAGCATTCTCCCAAATTCTTTTCCTCCCTCTGAAATCAGCATTTCTATCAAGAACGTGTCTGTGTGTACACAATGCATCAAGCTTTTTATGGCAGGAACCTTTGTGCCACTTTGACAAATCTCTGCAGAACTCTTACGTGATTGCTGATTTTCCTTCCTCTGAAATCAGCATTTCTATCCAGAACATGTTCGTGTGTAAGATGCATGAAGGTGGAGCAGAAAATGTTCTCCTAGGAAAAGTTTTACACACTTTCTGTTGGAATGCATCTGGGGGTTTCTTCCACAAACCCTCACTTACTATGCTCTATCCTTTGTCAAACTGTGTCATTTCCGACCTCTTTATGTGACGCTGCTGTGAGGCGAAACTCTTCTGGAAGTGATGACCCCCAGTCTGCTTCCGGGTTCCTGGCAGGGAGGAGCAGGCCACGGCCACGGCCACCTCACTCCTGCCCTGCAGACACTCCCGGCGCTCGGCTTCGAGGTGTCCGTGTGCCCCGAGGTCTCCCTGTGCCCCGCGCTGTGGTTCAGCGTGTGCGGATCACGCCAGCTGAAGTTCTAGTGTGTGTGTGTGTGCCATTTCATTTTCTCCAGAGACAGATGGACAGGTGGTGGGGTGGGGTGGGTCCCTGTGAGTTGTGACCTTTGGTGTATTAAGTGCCAGACCCCCCAGTGCGGCCTCTGTGTCCACGAGCTGGGATTTGGGCAACACGGCCCTTTTAGCTGAGCGCAGCCACTTAGCGCTGGCTGGCAGGATGTGGCTGTGGGTTTGGTTCGGCCGGTTCCCGGGTTTTACGTGTTTGCGGTTCGGGCAGGCAAGGCAGTGTCTCCAGCCCCCTGTCTCCCTTGCCCACCCAGCAGCCAGCTTCTCCAAGGTCTTTGGGAGGCTCCGTGTGTAGGGAACGTTAGTCCCAGCTGGGCCTGTTTGGCCTGCTGGCTCCTGCCTTTGCAGCCTGCAGTCTAGCCCTTGCACGACTGAGACCCTCATTCCCATACCCCCAGCGGCCTGCTGTGGCTTCAGGCACACGGTGGGGCCTTTCTCACTGTCACTGTCCTTCCTGTGCCCCTGGGCTTCTCCCCCTTTCCTTCCCAGGGGGCTTTTCGCTGGCGTTCTTGCTCCTGCCCTCCAGCCATTTGCTCTCGTGTCCCCAGACTCCTTCCCCCAGCCGCCCACCTGCACAGCTCCCGCCCAGGTGCACACGGTGCCACAGCGCGGAGCTGCTGGACACAGGCCAGTCCCCTAGGCTGGGGACACAAGGTAGGATCTTTATGGCTCAGGCTCCTTGGCTCGGTCCTAGAAGCTCCCAGATTTTATTGGGTTTTGTTTTTTTAAGTCGCTTCTGTGTATAAAATCATACTATTTGAGCTGACCAGATGCAGATTAGACAAGCATATAGCGTCATGTGTCTTCCCAGTTGAGGATCGGTGTAAATCTCTGGGTGACAACAGGACCACTGCTAGCATCTGGGGCCTTTGAGACAGACCCAAGGGCAGGCCAGACCTGGAGAGCCACCCTTCCCTCCCCGTGGCCAGGGTCCTCCAAAGCTCCTCCCCTCAGTGCGTGGCTCACGCAGGCCCTTCCCTTCGGCCTGCCCAGCCCCACTCCTGTGCCCACAGGGCTCTTTCAGACCCAGCCACAGGCCAGGTTACTTTCAGGTGCAGTTCAGTGAGGCTTTCCAGAAATCTCAGTCGCTTCTGCATGGCAGGTGCTTCGTGGAGGTCGCTTGCAGAAGGAGTCTGAGGCAGAAGGATTGTTTGAGCCCAGGAGTTTGAGGTTGCTGTGAGCTAGGCTGATGCCTTCACACCTGTCTCTTGCCTTCACACCTGGGCCTGGGCCCTTCCCTCTCCTGGGAAATCCTGCCTTGGTTCCCCGGGGCAAAGGCCCCCCTGGCATTTTTACTTGCTCGGACTACAGAGCTTTCTCTTCTAGGCCCAGCCTCATAGCAGGGACCCCAGCTTCACAGTGGAGAACGTGTGAGGTTGCATGTTGTGAATGTCACAGTGCCCGGGCATGGGAGACTGGGCTGACAGCTCAGCCCCGGGTGGCCCAGTGGGGCTCTCCCAGCCCCCTGGAATCTGATAGCAAGTCCTGTGACTGTGGCCAGATGCCACTCAGTTTCGTCTTAATCTACAATAGAAACGTTTAACCAGTTCGCCTACTTATTTTATCTTTCTGCTTTCCCTACTTAAATGGTAAAATTTCTTGAGGAGAGGGGCCAGCTCTTCACGAGCTGTGACTACATGAGGCATTGCGGTGACTGACGTCTGAGCGCTTTCTGTGTGCCAGGTCACGCTGGGCTGTTTTGAGCCCTTATCTTCATCCCCGTGCAAATTTGCTAGACAGGTCTGTGGGTAGGCAGGCTCGCTCTCCTTTCTCTAGAGAAGGAAGCACAGCTTACGTCTCCCAAATTCACACAGGCAGTGCTGGCTTGTTAAACATTTCTTAGGGTGTGTGTTTAATGTGCTGGCATTTTTTTCTTTTCTACAACGGGCACACAAATCTTTCCGTGGGTGCAGCGGAATAAACAGAAAACAGTTGAGCTTTTGCTGACCGGCGTTGGGAGTTCCCAGTAGAATTTTACTGAAATCATTTTGTCTTTTTTTGTTTTTGTTTTTTTCTTCTAGAGGAATGAAGGACGCTTTCAGGATGGAAGAGAAAATTGGTTTTTGTGCTAGGAAAATTCAAAGCTAAAAATCTCCAGCCAGGTTAACGTTGGAGCGTTGTCTCTCTATACTCTCGCCCTCTGTTTATGGTTGTTGTTTTGTTTTATTTTGTTTTGTTTTTAATTCCCAAGACAACGTGAGAACTTGGTTGACTTATCTGTCCTTAAAGCAAATGTCAGTGAAATCAGCTGCATAGGAGATGACTCTGCATATAGAAATTGTGTGAATAAATGCTCGATTAAAATGTTTCAGGTCATCGTTTGTAGGCCTTTGTTTCACATGTTTTCTTTCTTAAATTTAGACACGTCCAGAGACACGTCCTTCTCCCTTAGGTTTCCTATTTCATTAGAGAGTGTCGTTTGCTTGTGAAACCTGAGTTTAAGCCCTGGATACAAGTCATCCTTAAAGGAAAATACAGCTCCTTTGTCTTTTAAATTCAAAACCATGGACAGCAGATTAAAACCTAATACAGGTTAAGCGTCCCTCATCTGAAATGCTTGGGACCAGAAGTGTTTTGGATTTCGTGGTTTTTCAGTATTTGAGATATTTGCATATACAGTTGACTCTTAATCAACAAGGGTTAGAACAGACCAGGTCCACTTAAATGTAGATTTTCTTCTGCCTTCACCACTGCTGAGACAGCAAGACGAACCCCTCCTCTTCCTCCTCCTCAGCCTGCTCAACATGAAGACAGTGAGGATGAAGATCTTTATGAGGATCCACTCCCACTTAGTGGACAGTAAATATATTTTTTCTTCCTTATGACTTTCTTAATAACATTCCTTTTCTCTAGCTTACTTTAGTGTAAGAATATAGGATATAATACATGCAACATACAAAATAACGTGTTAATGGACTGTTTGTTATCAGTAACAGTTCTGGCCAACAGTAGGCTATTAATAGTTTAGTTTTTGGGGAGTCAAAAGTTTTTGACTACATGGGGGTGATTGAGACGCCTACCCTGCATTGTCGAAGGGTGAGCTATACATGAGGAGATATCTTGGGGGTGGGATCTAGGTCTAAATATGACATTTATTTATGTTTTATATATACCTTATCACATAGCCCGAAGGTAATTTTATGTGATATTTTTAATAATTTTGTATATTATTAAAAGCAAAGTTTTAACTGTGACTTGTCACGAGATCAGGCATGAAATTTTCCACTTGTGGCAACATATTGGCACTCAGAATGTTTCACATCTTTGGATTACACATGTCCAACCTATATAATTCACCCATAAAAAATAATTCCTATCATCCTTATATTTTTAGATGAAAACATGTTGTATTTTAGCAGTCCTGCTAGTTCCAAAACGCTCTTGCAACCATAACAGCATCTATGACGCCTTGTGATTTTTAGTGCAGCCATTCATGACAGGATATCACAGTGACTATTTTTTAATGAAATATTTCAAATATTCAGAGTGCAGTAACAAAACCCATGCTGGAGTAAACTGTTGTTAGTATATTGCTGTGTGCGTTTTGGCTTTTTGTGAATGAAAGGTTAAAGATTAAGTTATGCACTGTCATTCCCTTCCCCGCCCTGGGCTGATGCTGGTGTGCGTCCCTTCCCCCCACACCTTGTGCTGGGACCACGTTACCTGTGTGCACGAGTCCGCGCTGGCTACCGTAATGAAACGCCAGGGACTGGGTGGCTAAAGCGACAGAGATCTATTTCCTCACGGTTCTGGAGGCTGCACGTCTGAGGCAGGGAGGCAGCACGGTCGGGTTTTGGTGGGGGCTCTCTCCCTGGCTTGCAGGCAGCCGCCTTCTTGCCGTGTCCTCACTTAATGGAGGGAGAGAGAGCTCTCTCTGCTGTCTCTTGTAATGGCTCTAATCCCACCTTCGTGACCACATCCAAACCTCATCGCCTCCCAAAGGTTCCGTCTCCAAATACCATCACCCAGTGGTTAGGGCTTTACCGTATGAATTCGAGGGATACAATGAGGTCCACCGCACTGTGGATCAGTAAGGCAGGCGCATGCTGCTTACAGCCGAGAACCTGGCCGAGAGCCCTAGACCTCGCAGGAGGCTGGAGTGGGCTGCTGGCTCAGGCCCGGCCAGGGCAGAGTGGCCCCTGCGATTCTAGGCCTTCTCCTTGGCCTGCTGCTTCCTAAGAAGCGCACAACCCGTCCTTTCCCTGTCATTAGGAAAACCATCATTCGTACCCAGACGGCTTGTGTCTCACCTTTCCCTCAAGCCCAGCAGACTGTGCTGAGGTCTCGTTGGCTGGGCCAGGCCTGGCCTGGCTGCAGACGGGCTGCAAAATAGTTTTGATCATCTAGTGGAAGAAGGTGAGGCAGAAGGAACCTGGCATGGGTCTTAGCCAATTTATAAGGTCTGCCAGTAAAGGACCCACAAACTATGTGCAGTATAGTCTCTATGTTTTTAACTTCCATGTGAATCATTTAACACCGTGTACTTCTGACAGGAGCTAATGCATGTGGGCTTCTCTCATTTTAAGCATTCACTAGGCAGTTACTTCACTGTCCTGAGCATCTGGATAGAAACACATCACCCGGGGTCCTTGTGCACTAGTGTAAATTTATCTGAGGCACACACCTAGAAGCGAACTGTGGGTTATGGATAGGTGCATCTTTAACTTACCTGATAATGCCAAATTGCTTTCCCAAACAACTATTCCGCTGCGCTAAACCCAGCAATGTGAGAGGTGCCACTTCCCCATGTTGCTGGCAGCCTTTGAGCTATGGTGGGTGTGAAGTGTGTTGCATCACGATCTGCTTTCTCTTGGTGACCTGAGTTCGCACGTCTTCCTGGGAGTGCTGGTTTCTCCAGTGTCCTCTCACTGTTTCTGTTTGCCTGTTTGTTTCTTACTGTTTGGGGTATGTTCTGGATCCTACCGTAGGAACCAATCCAGTTTTATTTTAGTTGCAAGTAACTGCTCCCATCTATGATTTGTCCTTTACATTTATGGCATTTTATGTACCAAAGTTATATCTTAACACAGTCAGTGCTAATGGTTTGAATGTAGTTTGTCTTGAAATTTAATTGCCAATGTGACAGAATCAGGAAGTGGGGTATAGTGGGAGGTATTTGAGTCATGGCAAAGGATCCCTCACAAGCACATTAATGCCATCTCTAAGGAGTGCCTGCTCCCTCAGGACTGAATTAGTTATTGTGAGAGAAGGTTGTTATAAAGCAAGGTTCCCCTTCATGCTTGGTCTCTGCACATACCCACCTTTCCACTTCCCCACAAGGTCTGCATGTAGCATGTAGCCCTCCCCAGAGGCTGAGCAGGTGCAGGCGTCATGCTCTTGGACTTTCCAGCTACCAGAATCATGAAGTAAATACACCTTTCTTTATAAATTACCCAGCCTCAGGCATTCTGCTACAGCAACGCTAAGTGAACTAAGACAAGCAGCTAGCTTAACCCTTTTCCTGGCATCTGTTACTTTTTAAAGAAAAAATACCTTACACTTAGGATCAAAAATATTATGTTGTCCTCGATGTCATTTTTCACCTTCAGGTCTATAAAGCATCTAGAAATATTTTTGCACAGGTATGAGGGGAGAGCCAGTTATGCAGATGTACAGCCCTCTCCCCGTACGTGTGTTGGACAGCACGCCCATCCCCACTGTGCCAGGGGTGTCCAAGCTTGTCCAGCAACACGCTCCATCACTTGGTAGAAAATAACTTCATTATTTGTTCCATGGGAGTCACAAAACTATTATTGAAAACCACTATTCTAGAGAAGCCTTAAGCATGGATTGATGTTTCAACTGTCAGCAACCCTCCTGTTGATGGGACCCCGTATGGTGACTGCCTTCAGCAGCTGTAGTGGGAACATCTTGGAAGTCCTGTTTTCACCTGCTCTGGGGACAACAAGCCTATTCTGCCAATGGCCTGAGTATAGGAAAAGTTTTCCCGCACTGCCCCTTCTTCCCTTACATGTTTCTTGGACCCTCAGCCAAATTCTGTTCCAGGAGTCCAAACGTGCTTTGGTACTCCATGGGAAGGGTGACGGTTGGCCTGCCATAAATGTCATGAGGCCCTCCTGGATTGTCCCCAGGCAGATGCACATTCTCCCTCCTGTGCCACGACCACTTCCAGCCTGGCTGCGGCCCTCCTCTCCCTCTCATGTGTCCTGGTCTGCTGGACGGGTAGATGTCTACCTTTCCCTTTAAGAACGGGTGCCTGGGTGGGCAGAGGGACAATAGGTCGGCACTCCCTCTGGACTTGGCACAGATCCTGGCAGTGGGCACACTCAGCGCGTGTGGGACCGAAGTGCACGTGAAGACACAAAGCTGGTCTCGGGTCTTTTGGGCCAGGGTCCGTCTGACACACTCCAGGGCAAGGCGGGAATGAAATGGTGAGTTAGGGCTGAAGTTCCCTTTGCCCCATGATGCAGGTTGTGGGATGTCATCGCAGTCAGGAGCCTGCACTCCAAATGGCAGCGGAGGTTTATTCCAGTGGAAGGGAAGGAAGGGATACTGATTATTTTACAACAGTGTTTTCCTTACAAATTAAAGAGGGTTTGCATCACAAGTGTAGGATTTGGCACTCTGAGAAGACAGTTTGCATCTTACATTTGGCCTGCCTAGGACATTCCTCCAGGTAAAGCCAAAAGCCAGTTCTGATTGCAGCTATCCAAGACTTTGAGCGTCTCCAGGGCTGCCCTCCGGACCCCAGGATCCGTGTCCAGCTGTAGCTCCTGGAGAGCTGAGAGTGAGCACAGAGAGGAGGAGTCAGGCCCCCTGGTCAGGACCGCACCTGTGCCCTGGCGTCAGCTGCAGGCCAGGCAAGCTGACGGGCAAGAGACGGACTTGGAACCTCCTGTGTGAAGCCAGAGGACGGCAGTGGGGCTGTGTGATTTCACACATCACAGACCTCTCAAGGCTCCAGGGCCACCCTAACATGCCAGCAAGATGCCCACAGGCCCCGCCTGCAGCACCAGGGCAGAAGCGTTTCATGAATAGCTGTGCGTGGGGGAGACAACAGGGCACAAGATGGAGCCCACCCATCAGCAGCTGTCTTCCTGGACGGTCCTCCCCTGCGCATCCCTCCCTCTCTGTCCCGGTTACACCAGCCCCGCCCCAAGTCTAAGCTCCCTAAATGAGTTTTGGTGAATTGTGGACTCAGAGTATAATGGAGCCTCCACTACTTACAATTCCGCAATGCCGGGAAGTCCAGCTTTTTCAGATAATGTGTAGACATCTGCTTCATCATAATTCCTAAAACGACAGCCAGAGACATGCTTATCACACGAATCTTAGGTCTGCAGGCAAACCACTGCGTGCCTCCCTGCAACAGATTTAGATTTGCCGTATGGGGACGTCGGTTAGAGGTTTTCCTGGGCCAGGTCAGCAAGGAGGAAGCCTGGCTCAAAATCGGGCAGGTGGGAAGCCTGGTGGGGCAGGAGCACAGTGCAGGCGTCGGACTCTGCCGCCTGTCTCCCTCCCCCTCCAGGGCTGGGGTTGACCAGGTGGCCGTCAGGGTCCACCCTGAATCCGGAGACCTGTCGGCTTACCTGCCAAGTTGCAGGCAGCGATTCTGATCCTTGACAAGTTATTTTTAACGTAGGCCATGGTTTCGAGCAAGAAGCTGTAGAGAACGGCAGGCTTTTTCTGAGTCTACAAAAAACAAGCAACACACACAGCCTTGGAGGACGCAATCCTGTTCACCAAGAGTGCTACCCTCTGTCTGACGTGTCAGTTCCCTCACAACTGGGAGGGTCTGCACAGAGAGGGCAAGCGCCCATCCCAGCATCACACAGCACATCAGCAGCTAGGTAAGTTAAGGACTGTCAGCCCCTGTTGCGTTTCTGTGGGACTCTGGAGGGGCTCTTGCATCTGTCCAGGACCTGTGCTGTCCAACACAGTGGCCACTGGCCACAGGTGGCCCTTGAGCATTTGAAGTGTGGCCAGTCTGATTTAAGAGTAAAAAGCCTCCTGGATTTTGAAGACTACCGAAAAACACCAAAATGTAAAATATGGCAATAATAGTTTTCATATTGATTACATGTTGAAATGATCATGTTTTAGTTACACTGGGTGAAAGCAAATATTACAATTAGTGTCCCCTCTTCCGCCTTTTCTGAATGTGGCTGCTAGAAAACTTAAGAAGAGACATGCAGCTTGCACCCTACTTCTGTGGGTCTCGACAGTTCACACGTAGGAAGTAAAAGGAGTCACGAGAAAGAAATCTGTGGCAGCCTCAACCCTAAGCTCCGTGCCAGAGTGTGGCCACCGGGACGGGCTGGTCCCCTTCTTCTCACCAGGACGGAGCACATGGTTGTCTGGAAAACGGCCATCCTGTCGTCCGCACTGGCGTCACTTTGCCCCGAGGGGCTCTCCAGGGACTTCCAGCCCCAGAAGTGCACACACTGAAACATGGTAGCCATGCAGGCCTGGAGGGACAAGGACACAGGGCAGCAGAGCGGCGTCAGGCCCACCGGGCCAGGGTGGTTTGCACGAGGGATGGGGCTGGCAAGAAGCCAGAGGGCAGCCCGGGAGGCACCCGGCAGAGCAGAAGGGCGGGGCTGGTGGCTCCTGGGAGGCCGCCTGGGATGGAGCCCCTGCCACCCTGAATATGGGGCTGTGAATCCATTGGTGAGCATCCCCGTGGAGGCACCTTCGGGCCCTCAGCTGTCCTGCCTGGGACCCACCCTTCCTGGGGGTCTGGGACTGGGGGCCTGGCTTGGGTGGGCAGGGCAGGGCGAGCGCCCCAGCCTCTGGCTTTGGGAGAGGGGAGGCAGGAAGACAGGGTGGGCATCTTCCCCAGGGGTGGGCTCGTCACCGCTCGTGGCTCATGCCCAAGCTTCCTTTCCCCAACCTGCCCGCCTTGGTGGCACCTTCATTACACTCCATCACCCTTGCTGGCTGTGCCCCAGCTTCTTCCCTGAAACACCCTGTCCTCCTCCCCAGTGGACTGTGGTTAGTAAAACAAGAAAGAACAACATGGGCTAAAGATGGGGTGGTGGGATTAGCAAGGAAAA